GCAAGAAGTGATGTGGTCTTGCTGGTCAACATGTTTCCGCGGCGTTGTCTCGCGGTGTTCCTCGCCACGTCGTCCTAGCCTGACCTGCTAAGCAAGCCGTTTGACAGTGACAGGCGGTGATGAAGGCTTAGATGGTGTAACCGTAATCCTGAGCACTGGGCGCTGGGCATCTATGCCAGAGCAAGTTGTGGGAGCAGCGCAAGTCCCGAATCACCCGAAACAAACTCACACAAAGAAGTTGGCGTCTGGACAAAGGCGCCACACATCAAGGCGAAGGCCAGCACGACAGTTGCGACCTAAGGTATGCGCAGAACGAGCTCTGGGCGCGTCACTCCAAGCCCAGCATGACGGCGACGGTGAGCCCACAAAGACAATCTCTACTGAGGAGGCTGCCACGTAGGCAACAGCAAGAGAAGCATAGGGGAGCCCGCGCATGAACTCCCAAAAGAAGCGTGTGGGCGGCGTAAGTGGCTGCGGCAGCGGGAAAGGTGCACCACCGCGCAAGGAAGTTTTGATGGGGCTGCACATCACCTCGGAGACCGAAACAACTTCAGGCGCTTGATCTCAGCGAGTCATGTGCTGCTCGTTACATCATCAGGCAAGATGCCGCACCGTAACATCCGCTCACCCATCTTGCTCGTGCTTCCTCCAGACTCTCCACCTCCATCAGCATGCGCAGGCCTCCAAAGCTTCCATACGGCCACTGCCCTGAATTTATCTCCATCTCGCTCGTGAAAAGTGTCGAATACGTTATGTCAGAGGCTAGTAGTCGAGCACATGGACCTGCTTTCCAAGGGGCTGACTCGAAGCCTCTATAAATATTGAAATCATTCAAATGCACCCCAAAGTATAGCTCTTGGAGCTTTCGAGGCCTTGCGGATTGAAGCAGTGAAATAAGATCAGATGATCTACACTGTGGGTTCGGTGCTTGCCGTGCAACCGATGCTCCTTAGCAAGAGCCGATACTGTGGCCGAGAAATAGCCGGGGCTGATCGAAACTATTGTTTTAATGAGTGACCATTTGGCATACCTGTCATTTGTCATTTCTGACTCCCTACGTTCCTGCCTCTTGGCCAGGTGAATCCTGGTCATTTGCGACTCCCTCCGCCTGGCATCACCACTCATCACATCACCTCACCCGAAAGTGCTCTTATTCATTGGCAGGCGTGTGATTTCTTCTCCAACAAGCGCCTGTCATCTGTGACTCCCTACCCTTTTGCCTTGCTTTTAAATGTTATTTTCACACAACAACACGGGTCATCTGTGACTCCCTACTTTTTCTTGCTCTGGCCATCTGTGACTCCCTACTTTTTCTTGTTTTGGACAGGTTTCCTTTTCGGTCGAAGCTTCCTGCTGGATTCATTCCTTCGGGTCACTCCTTAAGCTGTTGTCTTCGATAATAGGTTCCTGCTGGGTTCACTCCTTAGGGCCTTTGTCTTCGCTGAAAGGTTCTTCTTGGATTCATCCCTTAGGGTTTCATCTCTGGCTAAAGGTTCCTGCTGGATTCACTCCTTAGGGCTTTCGCCTTGGGTAACAGATTCTTGCTGGGTTCACTCCTCAAGGTTTTCGTCTTCGCTGAAAGGTTCTTCTTGGATTCACCCCTTAGGGGTTCACCTTCGGCAAAAGGTTCATGCTGGATTGACTCCTTAGGGTTTTCGTCTTCGGCTAAAGGTTCCTGCTGGGTTCACTCCTTAGGGCCTTCGTCTTCGATGAAAGGTTCTTCTTGGATTCACCCCTCAAGGCTTCTACTTCGGAAAAAGGTTCATGCTGGATTCGCTTCTCAGGGTTTTGGTCTTCGGCGCTGGGTCATGCTGGGTTCACTCCTTAGGTCTTTGTCTTGAGTCAAAAGTTCTTCTTGGATTCACCCTTTAGGGTGTCATCTTCGGTAAAAGGTTCATGCTGGATTCACTCCTGAGGGTTTTTGGTCTTCGGTAATAGGTTCCCGTTGGGTTCACTCCTTAGGGTCTTCATCTTGGGTGAAAGGTTTTCGTGGATTCGCCCAACAGGGTTTCATCTTCATCTTCGGCGAAAGGTTCCTGCTGGATTTGCTCTTTTGTGTTTTTGTCTTCGCTAAAAGGTTCCTGCTAGGGCTCACTCCTCTTATTCTGCGCTGAAAGGCCCATCTTCGGCACAAGGTTCCTGCTGGATTCGCTCCTTAGGGTTTTTGTCTTCGGTAACAGGTTCCTGCTGGACTCACTCCTTGTTTCGGGTTTGTTAGGCAGTACTAGAGGCGCTCTATATATATATATATATATATATATATAGCTATAGATAGATAGATACATACATACATACATGTGTTATATAGTAGATATTAAAAATTATGTATCATTTTGTAGATTGTCTAGTATATCTAGCACTATATACTTTATCTATTAGGTATTACTTTCCTATATTGTAACTATGTCATATTAGACATTATACATTACACATTATACCTTATATAATATATATATATATATATATATGTATATATATATATATATATATATATATATATATGCAGTTATAGAGTATGTATTATATAGTATATATATATATATATATAAAAATTACTATATATAATAAGTATATATTACATATTACTTGTTATATATATATATATATATATACATATATTCTTATATATTGTATATTACTTCTATATGGAAGCAAGCATCTGGTTGTGCGAAAAATACACCCCTCCTAGGGGAAAAACACTACTTTCATGCGAAGGTGCACCGCGCCTAGGAAAAACTGCATTTTCAGCCCAAAATTGCACCCCGCCCAGGGAAAATTAGGATTTCTTAAAAATTAGCACCGCGCCTAGGAAATATTGCAGATTCCGGCAAACTGACACAGGTCATGTGTGACTCCCTATTTTCCGTTTCAAAGATCCAAACAATCGGGTGCATGTGCTGGCATGTACCAAAAGCCTGGAAGGGTCTCCATTTTCAGCCGTTGAACCACCTGTCATTTGTGACTCCCTGGTCGGCTGTTGGACAACAAGGGTCGTGAAGACAACGTTCAAGAACGTCCCAAAAGCCTAGGGAGTCACAAATGACATGCATGCCGACCATTTAATGCTCGGTTCTTGCGCACACACCAGCCCTGGTATATTTTCTGAAAGATGTAGATGCCTTAACTTGCATGAATATGCACTTGCACGCTCTTGCGCCCGCCCTTTCGCCCGCCCTTGCGCGCACACCAGATGTCCAAAGCATTTTCTATATAGTTCCAGCTTAAATGAATAATTAAACCGCCGGTGCAGTAACAAGTCAAGAGCAAGAGTTTAGATCAACCCGACGGAACGCAACGCTGCTCGCTGCAATGTGTGTTCCTTTCGTGTTTGACAAAAAGGTATCGGAGCGTACGTCATGCAGGCCAGCTGCAAACACCTCACGCTTTGCAGAAAGTGCGTTTCAGAATCATGGGCTCGGTCTACTCTTGTTCTGCGCAATGTCAGCCTGGAAGGTTCGATCAGAGCCCTGGCTCAAGAATCACAATTGAAGTTGGGAAGCCTCCTCCTTCACATAATTCCGATCGGAGACAGTTGTGAGAATCGCGGCAGGGCTCGTTCAGAGATGCTGAAAGCGCTGTCCATGCAAACACTGCCCGCCTTGCTCCCACACCTCATCTTCCGGGCCGGCCGGCAACAAGGACGAGGAGCGCTCAACGGCCTTGGCTGCCAGGTTGCGGGGGAGTCTAGGTAGACGTTTATCTTTGGAACGTGCTCTTGCATGAGCTTTGCAACCTAGCTGCAGCCGGGCGGTCTTCAATGTTGAAGCAGCAAGCTGCAAACACCAGCACCATGCTGCTCCAAAGTGCCCGTCCGCTCGAGGAACGACCAGACCTCTTGGCCGCTGCAGGCCGGACGGCGCGGTGGGAGCGGCGAGCCATGTCGGTGGTGGCAAAACAATGTACAATGGCAAAGGTCGAGCAAGAGCTGAAAGGCAAGCACATGCTTCTCTCTTTGAGCGATTCGATCTCGACAGCAGTATGCTTGCAACCGGCAAACTCCAAGCCACTGATTTCTTCAGCAGCATTGATCCTTCTTTCTCTTGTGCCACAGCTAGAAAATATCTTCACAACAATGACGCTTGCGCTCTGCTCCCCGCCTGACACGGTGTTCGTATCGGGCTCTTTCGAACTGTTCACAGAATGGCCGGCAAGGTGCAGCTAGCTTAGAAAATGAAGACGCCACCATTACTAGTGGCGCGCATGTCCACAATGTGAAGGGTAGGCTCGGTCATGGCTTCATCTGCCTGTCTTGTACAGATGCGCATTGGGAGCACTATGTTCTCCTCATTCTGCCCTGGTCTTGCTTTATCAGTGATTATCAATACGCACTCACGAAGCAGAAGCAAGAACAGCCACGACACTTTGAAGTCTCTAAAGGGTGTCTTCGGAAGTCCAAACAGACTGTTGCGCACCGCATCCACCGCTCGTTCTCTCTCATACTTCGGCGCTCAGTGTGAGGATCTTTGCTGGCTTTTCCTGCAGCTGGCACTAGTCGTATGAAGTGCACGGAAAACAGCATCATGCGATTTGCGCCTTGTGCGATCTTGTGCGTGCACTCGGCATCTGTGCCGCAAGAGCAGGAAAGACACATGCGAGGTCGCTTTCAAGCAGATGGGACCTCATTGGACGAGCGTGTTGGCAATCGCACCGGCCTTTGGCCCGGCTGACCTTCTGTCTCAATATTACAATATGATGCAAAGGCTGAGCAAGTGAATTTGCACACTGACACGCAGTAAGGCCGAGGAGTCCGAGGAGCAGAAGGCAATGATGAGGTCGAGAATGATGGTGATGATGTTTCATGATGATGTTGGTGGTGATGATGTTTCAGGATGGTGTTGGTGATGGTGATGAAGAAGATGATGATGCCGATGCTGATGCTGCCGGAGGCAGCAGCAATGATACAGACACGAATCTCAAAACGAAAACAGAGGAGCATGGAACAAGCATCACGCATGCCAGGGAGCGTGCCTGCCTAAACAGGCCACGAGCGCACTGCAAGTTTAGTGATGCATGCTGCCGCCGCAAGGCCAATCCCGCCACGCTGGAAAGCAGTAACTCCCCCACAAGGTCGTGCTGTGTCCCAAGTCGTGGTGGCATGCGACAGCAACATCACTTCCATCAGTTCGCAGGAACGTGGCGGCACTTTGAGTCACCGGCATCTTTCGACAAGACAGAGCACCTCCGTTCAGAGCACCGTACTTGCATCGCTCGAAGGGCTTGGCGTCGTCATACGCATCTTCGAAGATGTCCCGCTCCCAGGCAATTCGTGTCTGATTTCCTGCCCGTCCGCAGGGAATTGTACAAGAGCCATCCTGGTCCGATTGTTGCGCCAAATGGTCCTCATCGATGGCTCCATACGACGTCTTGGTCTCAAACTGGCTCCTGCAAAACCATGCAAAAGCATCTACGCCGTATCTACGCTGTGCCACATGGGTCAGACTCCGGAAAGCGGCCCACATGACAGGAGCGAGGTCTTGTATCCAACTCAGCACCGCCTGCAGCAGACCATTCTTTCTCCGACCACGAGAAGCTGCAAGAAACGACGAGTCTGCCTGCAACTCCTTGTCGCTGAATCCCATCTCCTCGAAGCGAGCCAGCACTCTTTTCTCGGCATCCTCGCAGGAGATGCTTTGCTTGTGGAGAGAGAGAGAGAGAGAGAGAGAGAGAGAGAGAGAGAGAGAGAGAGAACAAACAAAAGAGGGGGTTGCTGCGCTCCCCGGCTGGCTGTGGCATGTGCTCGAACCTGTGCCGTGCCAAGGCACGGCGCTGGCAGCTCGTCAGATGGCACACCTGCGCGGCGCTGGAGGCTCAGGCAAAACGCAGCTGAGCGCTATAGGCTTCCTGCGTGCTTGCCATCTGCAGACTGGTTCAGGATCACCTGCGAGAAACAAATGATCGAGCCAGCTGAGATCAGCCGGAGTGAAGCCAACAGAAAGCACAAGGAGCCGCGCGCCTCTTCCGCCAGCTTGCGAGTGCTCTCGTCGATGTCCGTGTATCGGGGTAGGCCTGCAGACTCGGTTTGCGGGAGAGGCCCCTCCAGGCTCCGCTCCACACTTTGCCCCGGCCTCCCGGGTTCACGATGGACATGTCCAGGCCCTTGGGCACTGCGTGGTAGACGAACACGCCGTGCATGGAATCCCGGAGGGAGTTCAAGCCGCGGAAAAAGAAAGAGGGGTTGCTCAAGCCACCGGAGAAGGAGGCGCGGCATGGGCAGGTGCACTTCATCTCCGCCACGGCATTGATGAAGTCGACGGCGTAGGAGTTGCGTTCCGGCAGCCCAGTGGCAATGGTCAGCACGTTGATATCCTCGCGGGGGAAGTCGATGCTCTCACACAGGCGCTGGCAGATGCGAACCTTGTCCTCGAAGGTGCCTGCCTGACCCTTCTCATCGAAGGCCATGATGACGACGGCTGCGCCATAGCGCATGCAAAGCTTCGCAAGACGAAGAAACTCTTCCTCGCCGACCTTCAGTGAGATCGAATTCACGACGCACTTGCCCTGAACGCATTTGAGGCCCTCCTCGACCGCAGGCCACTTGGAGGAGTCAAACATGAAGGGCAACTTGGCCACGGTGGGCTCGGTGACGCAGAGCCTCATGAACTTGCGCATAGCCGACTGCCCATCGATCAGGTCCGAGTCGAAGTTGAAATCGAGATTGTCCACTTTCGTCTCGCACTGGGCGACGCAAACCTCCATAGCCTCATCCCACCTGTAGGCATCCACCAGCTTCTTGAATTTGGCCGAGCCCATCAAGTTGCATCGCTCGCCGGCCCAATGGAAGCCTGCCTCAGCGGTCACGTGGCAGGGCTCCAGGCCGGACAACATCATGCTGGGGTACCCGGGCAGCTCTGGAAGCTTGCGCACTGGGCAGTCCTTCACCTTCTTGCAGACGGCCGCGATGTGGAAAGGGAAGGTGAGGCAGCAGCCGCCGACGAAGTTCAGGATGCCATCCTTGGCGTAGTCCAGGATGTTGCTGCAGAAGATCTCGGGGTCTTCGTCATAGCCGCCCATGGCATTAGGCAGGCCAGCATTGGGGTGGACGTGGCACCAGGCTGAGTTCATGCCGTAGAGCTTCTTGTAGAAGCCCTTCATCTGAGCCGCACCCAGGGCACAGTTAATGCCAACGGTGAAGGGCTGCGCATGCTTCACGCTAACGCAGAAGGCCTCGATGGTCTGGCCAGAGAGCGTGCGGCCGCTCTTGTCCACGATGGTGGCGCTAAGCATCACTGGCAGCCGCTCCTTCTTCGACTCGATGAAGTACTGGTCCACTGCGAAGATGGCTGCCTTGCAGTTCTGGGTGTCGAAGACGGTCTCAATCATCAGCAGGTCGACGCCACCCTCCACGAGAGCGCTCACCTGCTGCTTGTAGGACTCCACAAGCTCGCCCCAAGTCACAGTGCGGAAGGATGGATCCTCCACACTGGGCGACACGCTTAGGGTGCGGCCGGTGGGCCCAACTGCGCCTGCCACCAATCGGGGCTTGTGTGGCTCCTGCTTCGTGACCTCAGCTGCTGCCTTCTTCGCTAGCTGTGCTCCCACTTTGTTGATCTCATGCGCAACGGCCTGCATCTTGTACTCGCCCTGCAAGATGGTCGTGCCGTTGAAGGTGTTGGTCTGACAGATGTCTGAGCCAGCGACGAAGTACTCCTTGTGGATGTCCTTGATCATGTCTGGCTTGCTGAAGATGGGGAGAGCGTCATTACCCTTCAGGGAGACCGGGATGCCGTTGGCATCCTTCTCGCTGAAGTCCTTGAACCGATCCCCACGGTAATCTGCTTCCTCCAAGTTTTCTGCCTGGATGCGGGTTCCCATGCCTCCATCCAGGAAGCAGATGCACTTCTTCAGCTCACTATTGAAGTAGTTGATCACCTCCGTGGGTGTTGCGGTCTTGCAGTCGATGATCTTCTGGGCAACCTTCTGGGTCTCTTTAGGGCCCTCGACACGGCAGCGGTCCACGACTTTGCAGCCGGGCTTCACACGAGACCGTCTCCTTAAGGGTAGAAAAAATCTGAGGAAAGTGCTCTGCCACAGATTTCTCGATCTTCAATACAGGCCCAGCAGGAGCAGGAGCCGGAGGCTTCATCACCTGCTCCGCATACTCCAGGAAGAGTTCGACATGATTGCCGTCCGCAGACTTGTGCAGAATCACTTCTTCCTGGGTCTTGGGCTCAATGTCTTCGTTCCTGGGACGACCACCTGGGTTCACGATGGACATGTTCAGGCCCTTGGGCACTGCGCGGTAGAGGAACACGCTGTGCATGGCATCCCGGAGAGAGTTCAGGCCGCGGAAAGAGAAAGAGGGGTTGCTCAAGCCACCAGAGAAGGAGGCGCGGCATGGGCAGGTGCACTTCATCTCCGCCACGGCATTGATCAAGTCGACGGCGTAGGAGTTGCGTTCCGGCAGCCCAGTGGCAATGGTCAGCACGCTGCAATCGAAGATGACATCCTCTGGGGGGAAGCGGGGAAGTCGATGTTCTCACGCGGGTACTTGCAGCTGCGCTGGCAGATGCGAACCTTGTCCTCGAAGGTAGCTGCCACAACCTTCTCTTTGTGGTCTCAGCTGTGCAGCACAGTCGTAGCAGTACATGTAAAAGGTCATGCCGCCGCGAAGCAAGCATGGTACCTGCAGCACTACAGAGTCACATACCGTACAGCGGACTACAGCACAGCAAGCATTCTCCAGCCCACGTGCCCACCCCCCCTTGTTCATACATGGCTCACATGATTTCTGCGACATACTCTTTGAAACATACACTTTGCACTTTGATGCCTTGAGAAGCTTACAGGGGGGGGGGGGGGCAGGACGGACAGATAGTTGAACGCGCTTCAAAGCAGCTTGCACTCTCGAGTGAAAGAGGCCAGACTCCCCGAGCCTTTCAGGTGCCATGCAGGTACCGATGGATGCCATGCTCCTGTGGACCGTAGCTGCACTCGCGTGTGCCCCAGTGCTTTATGGCTGAGTAAGCATGGACGGAGAATGCTACAGTACCTGAGAGAGTGGTACCAACAGCCACCGGCCTGGCAGACTGCAATGGAGCAGATGCAGCACGACAGTATCCAGCGAATGCACGAAATACTCGATGAGCGTCTCCACCAGCATTCGAAGGATCACAAGGAGCACCTTGTGGACAATCTGGAAGTGCTACATGCTGCAGTCAAGTCGGGAGCCCAACAGGTGACACTGGATGGTGCTCAGCTGAAGCAGATCAAGGACATGCTGAGCCAAGAGTCCAGTAATACCCGCAAGGCTGTGGTCTTACACAAGGACCTCCTGGATGATGTGGCGAAGCAGCAGAAAGTCCTGGAAACCCTCCAGGATGGAAGCCTGGCACAGGTTCGAGAAGTACTGCAGGACCAACAAGCTGGGACTCGACAGATCTGCGACCGAGCTACCGAGCTGTCGGATAAACGGATAGCTTTGGACAGACTGGTGGACGCCCTGGCAGGAAGTCTTCAGAAAATATCGAACGAAAGTCATGTCGGCTTTACCCGGGCAGAGCAAGAAGCGGAGAAAAACCACAACATGTGGGTGTCCGAGAATGGCAGCGTCAAAAGCTACCTCAACAGGGCGGTTCCCCTTATCAGGGGATCCAAGGAGAACAAAGACAAGATCGCTCAAGGCATGACGGAGCTGGCTGAGGAGTGCGATGGGATCAGGCGCAGGATCGATGACTTGCTGATTGATCGAATCATGCGCCACCTGGGAAGCACTGAGCATGTCGTCGGCGAGATCCGTGAAAGTCTTGACCAAGTATGGAGCTGGCTGACGGACATATGCAGGAATGTCCAAGATGTCACGAGCCGTGTTCGGGAGTTAGATGAACGCCTGATGGAGAGGCTTCCGAAGCTTCCGGCGCGCAAGCCACCCAACCAGTCTGGAGGGACGAGCACTGGCACAAACACTGAGAGAGAGCACCAACCGCTGCAGACCATCAGGCTTCAGGAAGCGGTGCCAGCCTCGTCGTCCCGTCCGATCTTCGTGAGTACGGCCCAGCCGTTCATTGTGGCGCCGCCACCAGGCCAAGGCGCCCCTTTAATCCTCACGCAGGCACAGCAAGATGCACTGCAGAGGCATGGACACTATGTGTTCAGAGGATGATACAGTAGCATCCTTTGCGTCGAGCTCCGCTCACTGCTCCCTAAACATCCATAAACCTTCAAAGCCTCTCAGCTGTCTTTCTCACTGCCGTTGATGTGTTTTGTGTCGTAGTGATGACACCCTTAGGAGCAGAAGTGGACATCAGGCACCTTTCTTGAGCACTACTGAACAGCATGTGAATTTAATGCAGCATGTGCATACTTGAATTTACACTTGCGCGGACTTTCCTGTGGCTTCTGCACTGCCACCACGACGAATTGCATGTCACCACGATGTACCTCGTGTACAAACACGTTTGCATGATACATACTTTGCATGCTGCATGACTGAATCTGTTTGTATTCGTTTGAATTCCTTTGCGCTGCCAACATGCTGGATGTGCTCACTGACGTGCCTTCGCACAACACGACCGCAGGCCTCGTCGCACAAAACGACGGGGTCCGATGGCGATGTTCAGGATCTCCAGTTGAGAAGTGATAGATCTGTACACTCCGCAATGCATACCACCAGTAGCTGACAACCTATGACTCCAGACAGCAATGGGCTCAACAGGTAGCGTGGTTGACATTCAGGGCTTCAACAGTCATGCAGGTTGGTCACGTGTTTCGCGTCCGTCCCTTGACCCGTCCCCCTGAACCCTCCAACCCTGAGCCTGAACCAGAGTCGGAGTCCATTAAGCCTCCGAAGCTCAAGAAGCCCAAGAAGACAACAGAACCAACAGACCTCAATGACTCGGTTCTTAAACAGCCAACCACGCCGGCTACTAAATGCTACTGTACATGTGTCGAGAGCGCTGCAGCACAGCTCCTGAATAGACCTGAACACCCCCCGATTCTGCACTCGGATATCCTTGCACTATGGACAATGATCCCGAAAGCCAAGCGCCTCCGCCCAAAGCCATCCCAACAGCCACCCCGGCCCCTTGATGAACCTCAGCGACAGGAGACATCCTAAACCCTGAGGATCCAGTACATCAAAGATGGCGACTGACTGAAACTTCGAGCTTCTGCGAGCTACGGTAGCTACTTTATGCTCTACACTGCCTCTCTGAAGCCCGAGTGCCAACTGCAAGCCTTTTCCGTGCAACGAGCGGGGTGTCGCAGGTGCGGCATTCAGGCATTACCATCCCACAAAGCCAGCCTACAGCCCAGAGACCTAAGTTTCTCGGAAAGCGCTTGGACAGCTTCTTGCTGAACTAGCTTGGGACGGATGCCCCGCTCAAGCATAGCCTCCTTCCAGTCTTTGCTGAACTTTGCCAAAATCTCTCTTCGCAGTACTCTGGAAGGTGGCGGAAGCCACCTGGAAACCTCGCGAGCGTCTGTATCTTCCAGGAATGTCCTACAAGCAGAGGTTTCCGCCATACTGCGAAGCAGCATCGGGTGGCCTCGAAAACTACGCCCGTAGAAGGAAGGCGTCGTCAATGTTGATGCAAACCTCCACTGATTGTTCTGATAGATTGCTTCCGTGTCGAAGTAGTGGTCCTCCGACTCTGTCTGCCTGTACCTGGAGAAGAAGGTGTGCACCAATTTCTTCAAGTCCTCACGGCATGTCCGGACATCGAACGTGTAAAAAGCCTTCATACCTATCTCTCTCGTGAGGCTTTCAGACACAGTTAACAGCTTTTCCTTCTCTTCCGGATTGAGATCTGCGAAGCCTCCACGAGGCTCTTGCATGCCTGCTGCATCCGCCAGTTCCAGGCCATGCTCCGAGGCCTCCGAGTCCTGTGACAACGGTTGCCAGGATGCTTGTGACAAAATTTGCGAGGCAGAGGTCGATGTTCCAGCAGCGGTACTTTGAGAATAAATGCCCTCCTCCTCCTCTTCCTGCTTCTCCTCATCATCCTCCTCCTTCCATGCCAGCTCTTCCTCAAGGCTTTCTTCTTTAGGTTCAGCAAGATCCTCCTGTGCGTCAACGCTTTCCTCTTTAGGTTCAGGCTCCTCTTTTACAACCTCCTCCGCACCAACATCCTCCTCCTCCTCATCCACCTCCTCCTTTGTGTGCGGCTCTTCTTCTTGCTTCGCACACAAGCCCTCCTGCGATGGACGCTCTGGGCTTCCAAAGCTGCGGATGACCTGGGCAAGGCTCAAGCCTGTTTCCAAGCGTTGCCTCTTATGAGGCTGCATGGCCGATGCACGCGCTGTGTGAACTATGGAACTGAGATGCTGCAGTGGTGGTGGCAGGAGGGGAGAGCGTGAAACACACAATGAACGCAAAGTACGAGCAGTCTTCGTTGCATTCGGGCTGGTTCCCCACTTGCCGTAGTTCTGAATAACTATAGTGTATATGCAAGCATGCGCAGACGTCCGAATGCCCCCGCGCTGCCGGAGTCTTGTTCACATGTGTTCGCTACCTGATGGAGCTGAGCCCGGGCATCACAAACTCCAGCCATTGCTCAACAAACACATGCGGGAAGGCTCCCAGAAAGACCAATCAATGGCAACACCCTGGTAAACAAGAAGAACGACGCCCAATGGCTTTCGGAAATCCCCCTTTTTTGTGTTCTTCAAAACAAGGCAGCCCTGAAGGCTCCCACCTCCTCAAAGCTCACGTTTCGGCCCTGCAGACGCAACACACACGGAGACATTGACGGCACGCACAGGCAGGAGTGGGATGCCACATACATTAACAACTAAACATATGCTCGGTGGCACTGAGCTCACCACTTCATGCTTTGAAAGATACTCCTCGGTCGCACTTGCCAAACCCCGCGTCGTCTTTGCAGACCTCAATCATTCGACACTCTGCCATCTGCCCCGGTTGCGATGCGAGCGCGTGGGTTCCGGCACTGCTGTTGAAGCCCCCTCTCCTCCGCCTCACAAACAATCCCAGATGCAAAGCACACGGACCAAAGGCACGGCCTGATGAGCTTCGCACCAGCAAGGAGACCTGCCCACAAGAATTACTGCCTGAATCTCCAGCAATCTCACAGCAATGCCAGGCAGCCCGTCCTTGCCTCTGCCTCTTCAGCGGGCACAGCCTAGACGCGGGCACACCGAATGAACGATGCTTCATGGTCACCAAGATCGCACGAAGCCCACAGGAACTGCTGCTGCAGCCTCCTCAGAAGAGCTGTTCTTGACCATCTTCAGTCGGACATCCTGCTCGCCTGCAACAGGGGCGGTGCCTGCAACAGGTGCGACTGGCGCCAATATGGATTGATTCGGCCAGCGGCTCCTCCTTGGATCAGTTACAAACCCCGCCCCAATGGCCATGCGTGCTATTCTTCTTGCTCTCGCCCATTGCTGCCTTTGGTGTCTTTGCCCAACACCTCCATGACCTTAGAAACAGTAGCAAGTGCGAGTCGGACAAGCATATCACAGTTTGTGGGCTTGTGCTAGAACCGCAGTAGGCGACAGGCAACGTCGAAACGGGACGCAAATGGCTCGCTGTGAACGAAAACTCTTCGTTGCTTTTATGTCGAAGCTCGATCTCCCTTGATTTGCTCCGCTTCTCTTACGAGAAGATAGCTCCACTCATGAACACACCTCCGGCATCTGTGGGGAGATCTTCGGGACAGTCCGTTTCCTCAGCATGTTTCTGTCTTGGAGAAACATGTGGCACAAGGCAAGCTGCAAGCTGCTAACGGCCGCTGCAGAAAGTCAGGAAGTTGGGTAAAGGTAGCCATCCCCACTCAACCACTGCAGACCATGCAGGCTGTCATTGTCCATGACTCCATGACCAGTAAGTGCATCTTTGACACATCGTTTTACTGCCATCAACATGAAACTTTTGCAACTCGGCGGGGGCTTGCCTATAACAACCTTCCAGCTGCTGAGCGGCGTTGCAATCGCTCCTTTTGCTTTGCGCAGGCCTTCTCGCAGCCAGAGTAGGAAGCCTGGCGTTCTTCTCTTTCTGTTGTCTGTTTAAGGATCCAGGGCTTATCATTTTAGCATCCAAGGAGGTGCAAGAGACTTTGGAATGCTTGGCCGGGAGACTTTGCAGATTGCCTAGGTGGAGTCTTCAACCCTAAGGCTATCTTCCAAGTTTGAATCAGACTGAGCATGCAAGGAGAGCTCCATAACGCAGATGTCTGGATTGACTAACTAAAATGCTCCCAGGACAATCATGGCATAGTAAGGGCCGAACACCCGTATCTCGTGAACATATACATATATATATATATATATGTATTTCAAACACTAGCTGCAGTTCCTGCAAGGAACCGCGAAATCCCAGGCACTAGTCACTAGTTGATGCTTCGGTGATAATGAAGCGGCTGGGGGCTGCCAAGGGTTCTGAAAGACTGGACCCTAAGTCGGTGCACACCCACAACAACAAGAAGCACAAAAGAAACAACCATAAACAAGCAGCAGCAACAACAACAACAACAACAGCAACAGCAATAGCATAACAAAGAGCTAGTGGCAGTCCTGTAGAGTCTCGGTCACGACTACTGTTTTGGCTTCTCGCAGCGAAACAGTCAAGATGCTCGCTGACTGACAGCATGCACCATCAGAACCTGCAGAGGCAAGCTGAAACTCACTGGGACATGCCTCTGCCAGCAGGGCCGCGTAGTCGGAGGCCTGGATCCAAGGTACTGGAGAAGCTGAAGCAGATCGCTCGCGGACCCAGAATGACTTGACATGAAGAGAACCCCCGAACCACGGCTGACATCTGAAAAAATCTGATGGTGCATGACCTCATGCAGACGAAGCCTCCTGCATCGAAGATGGTCATGTCAGATCCGATCCTGACGCAGGGTGGGCTCGCGACTGAGGTTCGGTATTGGCAAAATGGAGCATGACATGTGCATAGTGGACCTCAGGATCTTCAGGTTCTTCACATTGTGGGCACGCATGAAGAATGTTGCGACAAGTCCCACAGCAAAGCATCTAGCGAGCACTCTTCACATCAAAAGCTGCATAGAAGCATTCAGGCCGCCGTCTGGACTCTTGGCCCTAGGGATTGGCCAGCAAAGCTGTCTCCGAAGGGCGAAGGCCCCAACCGCTGCTCCAAGAAGACCTGAACCGTATATGTTCCACTCCTAAGCCAGATACATC